TCCTGTCTGCCGACAGTGGCCAGCACCAGGTGCCCCAGAGAGGGTGGACCGAAGACAATGATCAAGCGATTTGTCTCCTGCCATCTGTCTCCAGCCTCTGACAAACAGAGGCCAAGGACACCCTTTTATCCCCTGGCTAATAGCCTTTTATGGACCTAACCTCCATGAAATTATCTAGCTTCTCTTTAAACTCTGTTATAGTCCTAGCCTTCACAGCCTCCTCTGGCAAGGAGTTCCACAGGTTGACTACACGCTGTGTGAAGAAGAACTTTCTTTTATTAGTTTTAAACCTGCTCCCCATTAATTTCATTTGGTGTCCTCTAGTTCGTCTATTTAGGGAACTAATTAATAACTTTTCTTTATCCGCCCTCTCACACCACACATGATTTTGTAGACCTCTATCATATCCCCCCTCAGTCTCCTCTTTTCTAAACTGAAAAGTCCCAGTCGCTTTAACCTCTCCTCATATGGGACCCGTTCCAAACCCCTCATCATTTTAGTATGAGATCAAGAGACCTGGCCACAGGAGACGAGTGGTAGAAGCAGAGCCTAAATCTACCTGGGATTCCAAGGCTCAGCCACACCATAATCTGTGATCCCCTGCATCTTGGAGTTTAGCTGAAAATATTGAAGCTTAAATAAAAAGAAGTCGTCCAGTTTTTCTATCATAGTCAACATGTGTTAAATGTAAACGGATTGACAGGAAACGTTCTTCAGTGATCTCCACTTGCCTCCTCTCTACAGCGCAGACTTGTTTTCGTTTGCGTGGGCCTGTCACAGAATGAGCCTTAGGGGGCAGTGGAGACCCTCCAGGGACTGCCATGCAAGTCAGGTAAGCCTCAAACTCATAACTCAGAGGGAGACCAAATGTTAGTTCTACCCTGAAGCGTTAATAGGATGGGAATGGGGTAGCAAATCCTCCACACAGCCCACACACAAAGCCCTTTTAGAAACACTCCAGGTCTACAATAATTCCTCATTTAACACGTGCCCGCTTAATACGTTTTTGCAATAGCACTTTTTTTTTTTAGGGAACGTTTTTTGAATTACACGACCGTCCCCGGAATAACACGATTTCCTCAGCTGGCCTGTTGCCGGCGGCTGTGCGGGGCTTCCCCCGCCTCCCTGCAAAGCAGTGGAGGGTTCGCCACTCGCCGCGCCGTTCCCTGGCGACCCCCGCTCGCCGGACGCAATGCGGGTCCCAGCAGACCCATCACAGGGGCATACTCCCAACCTAATCCCCCTCCTGTTTCATCCCCTTCCCTTCCCCTGAGCCAAACACCTCTGCTCCCTGCTGTAACCCAGTCCCCTTTCTCCCCAACCTTACATCCCGGTCCCAACAGACACCACCGCTTGAAACGCAACCCCCACCTTTTCCATTATTTTCAATGGGAAAATTGATCCCGCATTGCACGTTTTCACTTAACACGATCATTTTCTGAAACGTATCTACAGTGTTAAATGAGGAATTACTGTAACTGATGTTATTCCAAAATAACTTAGGGTACGTCTACACTAGCCCCCTAGTTCGAACTAGGGAGGCTAATGAGGGTGACCAAAATTGCAAATGAAGCGCGGGTTAGCATGTTCCCGGGCAGTCGTCATTTTGGAAACCGACTAGCCCAGGATAACTGCCCGCATCTACACGCGGCAGTGAAACGGGAGTTCCAAGTAAAGCCCTAACTCGAATTAGCTGTTATTCCTCCTGGAATGAGGTTTAACAGCTAATTCGAATTAAGGGCTTTACTTCGAACTCCCGTTTTACTGCCGCGTGTAGACACGGGCAGTTATTCCGGGTTAGTCAATTTCCAAAAATGGCGACCGCCTGGAAACATGCTAATGAAGCACAAGATATTTAAATCCCGCGCTTCATTTGCAATTTCGGTCGCCCTCATTAGCCTCCCTAGTTCGAACTAGGGGGCTAGTGTAGATGTACCCATAGTGCGCATCTACCCTGCAAGCCATTATTTCGAAATACTGTTGAGCTGAAGGACTTCCTACTCCGACTCCTGTGACCCTCATTTCCCGAGGAGCAGGGGAAGTTGGAGGAAGAGTGTTCCCCCTTCGATTTTCTGCTGTGTAGACAGCGCCAAAAGCCAAATTAAGCTATTTTGACATCAGTGACGCAACTGACGAAGTTGAAGTTCAGTCGCTTAATTCGGCTTTTGCCCTGCAATGTAGATGTACCCTCTGTGACCTGAACTAACTTGTCTATAATTTGCTTATTATAGTTTTCTTTTCCTTGTCTCTGAGAGCTGGT